TCAAGACTGGCTCTGCTGGTGAAATTAGGAAGCAATGTGCAGTTGTGAATAGTTAAGAGCAATGGTTTTGTGTTTGTATGTGTGGGTACCTTGGTGTGAATGATTTGCTAACATGAATATCATGTTCTTTTTTGTAGTTATTCCAATTGCTTTTGTATATTGATGGTTTTCTTGAAATAAAACTAAGATCAAATCTGATGCTTTTGAATTTGCTTTAGAGCATAGACATTATTTTGCTAGAAATGAACCTTTGTCTTTATATTCTTTCATAATGCAGCTGAGATTCAGAACTGTAAAATAGTCTTCAATACTGATTGGATGTCGTTGTCCTGAGTGATAGGCTATATGTATATCCCTGTTATGTTTTGATGATCTAACAAACTTACTGTCAAGAACCAGATAAGCAACCTGTTACACATTCTTAAGACCTTAAAATCAAAAGGTTCTAGCTTGAGATAAGGTTCAACTTTTCAGAGTCAAAAGAACAACAGAGAGAACAGATAGCTACCATTTCCCGAGGAAACTGCACAAGTCAACTGCCTCAGCTGTAAAGTTGCTGCCTGTACATGCTACAGTGCAGAAACAGTACAACAGTCAACTTTATGGGGAGTGCCTTTTACCTACCTTGCTTACATCATACTAGTGATGTCACAAATGCATTATTAACATCAAGGAAGGTAAAACAAATTACTTGTTCACTTAGAGAATTCATTCAAGCTCTCACACGGTCATTGGTCATCAAGCAATCAATTCTCAAGTGCATCAAGAACAAAGAACAACACTACTACGGACCAGTTCCCCATAGCAAGTCATTGAATATCCTTAGTTGAGTTGTAACTTTATAATAGTTCTTCAATTGTAATTCTTACTTAGCTTGTTTAGAAATATTCTGTAGAAAACCCTTTGTAAACCTTAAACTTTTGTATTTGAGTCTTGGCTAGAGTTAGTCGAGTTGTAAAGTCTTTGTAATAGAGGTATTACAAAGTGGCTTGTAATAGAGTATTACAAGTTAGTGAGGGATTAAGAGGTTAATTCCTAGGTTGCAGATGTTGTAGTCTAAAAGTTGCTCAGTAGTGAAGTTGAAATCCTACAAGGGTAGGTCATGATTTTTAATCCCGTTGAGCTGGAAATTTTCCACATAAAAATTCTCTTATCATTTACTTACTGCAGTGTGCGTGTGTTCTAGTGGAACTGATAGAGAACCTGGTTCTTTATAGAGTTTGGTGGACCCTTATATTGTATCAATTGGTATCAGAGCGGATTCTTTCTATCAGGTTAACACCTAGAAAGGATCCTCATGGCTACTCCTCCAAACTTCGAAGAAGGCCAGTCAACTTACAGACCGCCTAGGTTCAATGGACAGTATTATGGATGGTGGAAAACTAGGATGCACGACTTCATCATGGCTGAAGATTCTGAGTTATGGGATGTCATATGTGACGGACCCTTTGTTCCCACCAAGAATCTTGGCGACCCAGCTGTAGCCATTCCCAAGACGAGGAAGGAATTCAATGACTCTGATCAAAAGGCTATAGAAAAGAACTTTCGTGCAAAGAAAATTCTTATTTGTGGCATTGGTCCTGATGAATATAACAGGATATCGGCATGCCAATCAGCAAAAGAAATCTGGGAGGCTCTTCAGACAGCTCACGAAGGAACAACACAGGTTAAGCAATCCAAGATCGACATGCTCACAACTGAATACGAGCTCTTCAAGATGAAAGATGATGAATCCATCCAAGATATGCATACTCGCTTCACCTCCATCATTAACGAGCTTCACTCTCTTAGTGAAACCATTCCAAGAAATAAGTTTGTTAGGAAAATCCTTAGTGTACTGCCCAGTTCTTGGGAAAGCAAAGTGAACGCCATTACAGAGGCGAAGGACTTGCAGACACTGACCATAGATGAACTTGTTGGCAATCTAAAAACATATGAAATGATGAAGAAGAAGAAGAAGAAGGACAATGAAAGAAGAGAACCCAAAAGAGAGAAGAACCTGGTCCTCTAGACAGACAACAATGATTCAAGTGGTGAGGATGGTGATATGGCTTACTTGACAAGAAGATTCTAGAAGATGGTTCGCAGAAATGGAGGCATTCCAAAAAGGAGAAGTTCTAGCAAGCCAAAAAATTAGGACCTATGTCATAAATGTGGCAAGCCAGGACACTTCATCAAGGAGTGCCCTCTCCTAAAGCAAGATCAGTACAAAAATAACTTTGACAAAGCAGCCAAGAGGAACTCGGTTCCTGACAAACGCTTCAAGAAAAAGAATGACACTGACAATGTTGTAAAGCAAGCTCTTACTGCATGGGGAGACTCCTCCAGCGAATCTGAAGAAGAAAATGATCATGGTGATATTCAATGATGGAAGTGGAAAGTCAAGCAACTAAATATGACTCAATCTTTGCCTTGATGGCTCAGTCTGATGATGATGAAGATGACAACGATGATGAGGTAAATTTTCTGGATGTTCAGAGAAATCTGAAATCTTATTCTCCTAAAACACTTATGTCTTTGGCAAATGTGTTCATTGATGCTTATCACAGTCTTATAAATGATAAAGATGCTTTAACTGTGGAGGTAGGAGAAGTAGAACAAACCAGAGATGACTTAGTAATCGTTGTTATTGATTTAAAGGAGACAATTGAGAACCTGAAGAAAGAGAAGGATGCCTTAGATGAAAAAATTACACATGTAGAACATGAAAGAGATGATCTAATGGTCACTGTGGTAGATCTAAAAGAGACCCTTGAGTGTGTAAGAAAGGAAAAAGAAGTCTTAGTTGAGAGAGTTGCTTACATTGAGCATGAGAGAGATGACCTATTAGTAGTGGTAGTGGACTTGAAAGAAATAATTGGGGCACCTAAAATAGAAAGTAAGCCTAAAAATTCTCAAAAGGGAAATGAAGTTGCAAGTGGGGCACACATTAAGCTTGAAAGTGAGTTAAATTCAGTGAAGTCTAGTCTGTATGCTGAGCTTGAGAAAAACAAACAACTTCATGAAGAACTAGGAAGAGTGAAGAGTGACCTTGAAAAATCACTCAAGTGGATGTGGTCCTCTGATGCTATCATTGCCATGTACACCAACAATGGGGGAAACATGCAGGGGATTGGGTTCCAAAGGGAAAAGATTCCCTACAACCCTCATAGCAAGTACGTTACTGTACCTGATAAAGTTGGCTTTGTATTCACCGTGGTAACACTGGGTACTTTAAAGAAAACTGTAAGGCCAGATTTCAGTCACAGCAGAAAAACAAAGTTTTCGCTGAAAAAGTAACTACTGGTAGAGAACCTGGTCCCTCATATAAGAAATGCATGATGCCTGCTTGGACAAAAAAATCCCTCATTCACCACCTTTCCTTATTACAAGGGACCCAAACTCGTTTGGGTTCCTAAGTCTAACTCTTGATTTTCTTGTGCAGGGAACAGTGAAAATAAGCAGCCTACAAATGGTACATGGATAGTGGCTACTCAAAGCACATGACTGGAACTACAAATAATTTCCTTTCACTTAAAGCCCTGCAAGGAGGGAGTGCATCCTTTGGAAATGGAAAAAAGGATACATTCTGAGAGTTGGAAGGATTGGGAAGTCTCTCTCACACTCAATCGAAAATGGGTACTATGTGAACGGGTTGAAGTACAGCTTGCTAAGTATTTTCCAGATCTTTGATAAGGGAAACAAGGTAGAATTTGTGTCAAAAATATGTACAGTCACAAACCTAGTGACTGGTGAGGTGGTGCTAGTAGCAAAAAGATACAAAAATATCTATGTTGCTGATTTTGAGTCTCTGCAGAATGGTGATCTCAACTGTCTAACTGCTATTGATGATGATGCTGAATTATGGCATAGGAGGCTGGGTCATGCAAGCTTCACATTGCTGAACAAATTGGTCAGGAAGGACCTGGTTCGTAGTCTGCCCAAATTAAGTTTCAAGGATCACAAAGTGTGTGATGCATGTGTAAAAGGCAAGCAAGTCAAATCCTCATTCAAGCCCAAGAAGGAAGTCAGTACCTCAAGGCCACTTGATCTCCTTCACATGGATCTATGTGGATCCATGAGGGTGGCAAGCAGGGGAGGAAAGAAATATATCTTCGTTATAGTTGATGATTACTCCAGATTCACCTGGACTCTGTTTCTCAGAACCAAGGATGAAACCTTTGAAGTATTTGTTGCCTTCGTTAAAAGGATTCAAGTAAAGATGGGTAATAATGTAGCTTGCAGCAGGTCTAATCACTGGACATAGTTCGACAATGCCAAATTTGATGAGTTCTGTACTGAAAATGGTATCACTCACAATTTTTCAGCTCCAAGAACACCTCAACAAAATGGTGTTATGGAGAGGAAGAATAGAACTCTTGAAGACATGGCAAGGACACTGCTTGCTACTTGGTGAACAGGTGCATGATCAGGTCTCTTCTGAACAAGACTCCATGTGAACTGCTGAATGGAAGGAAGCCCAAACTGACACATCTAAGGACTTTTGGGTGTAAATGTTTTGTCCTCAACAATGGAAAGGAAGCTCTTGGAAACTTCGATGCCAAAAGTGATGAAGGAATCTTTCTATGATACTCATCCCAAAGCAAAGCTTACAAAGTATATAACAAAAGGACTCAATGTGTTGAAGAGAGTATACATGTGATTTTTGATGAATCTCACCTCTCGTGTGAGAAGGACAGATGTGTTGACCAAGATGGAGAACATTTATCTGTTCTAGGTGAAGTTATTGACATAGAAAATGGAAAGGCAGACATGATGAGACATGTAAAGGAATCCAGTGAAGATGATGTGAGTACACCTCCATCTATTGGAGAGGAACCTGGTCCTTTGATCACACCAACTGAAGCTGAATAGTTGTTGATGCAGTCCAAGGTACTCTACTTGCTGAAGTAAGAAGCGCCCAAGAACCTCAGTCAGACATACTTGGGTCCTCTGCCAATGAGATTCAGGCACCAAATTGGAAGCACAAAAGCTCACATCCTCTTGGCAACATAATCACCCCTCTTGACTCAGGAATTCAAACCAAATCAAAAGCAAGAAACTCACTTTCCTTTTCAGCCTTTCTTTCCCAAATAGAGCCCAAAAATATCAAAGAAGCGTTGAAAGATGCAGACTGGATCATAGCCATACAAGAGGAGTTGCATCAATTTAAAAGAAACAAGGTATGGCACCTGGTTCCTCAACCTGCAAATCGAACTATCATAGGGACCGGGTGGGTATTCAGGAACAAACTTGATGAGTTTGGAAATACAACAAGGAGTAAGGCAAGGCTTGTAGTTCAAGGCTACAATCAGGAAGAAGGGATTGATTATGATGAAACATTTGCTCCAGTTGCTCGAATGGAAGCTATTAGAATTCTTATTGCCTTTGCATCTCATATGGAGTTGACATTGTTCCAAATGGATGTCAAAAGTGTATTTCTAAATGGCTACCTGAAAGAAGAAGTTTACGTCAAGAAGCCTCCTAGATTTGAGTGTCACGAGCATCCTCAGCATGTATTCAAGCTGGACAAGGCATTGTATGGGCTAAAGCAGGCTCCCCGGGCTTGGTATGAAAGGTTATCAAAGTTTCTTCTAGAAAATGGCTTTACAAGAGGGAAAATTGACAACACTCTTTTTCTGAAGAAAACGAGGGAGGAACCTGCTCAGTGTTCAGGTATATGTTGATGATATCATTTTTGGAGCCACAGCTGACTCTCTTTGTGAAGAGTTTGCAAAACTCATGGGGGGGGGAGGGTGAGTTTGAGATGAGTATGATGGGAGAATTAAATTTCTTCTTGGGACTTCAAATGAAGCAATCTCAAAAGGGAACAATGATAAGTGAGTAGAAGTACATCAAGGAGCTGCTAAAAAGGTTTGACATGGAAACATTAAAGGTTATTGACACTCCTATTGCCACAACTACTCGTCTAGACATGGATGAACCCGGTTCTCTTGTAAATCAAACCATGTATAGAGGGATCATAAGATCACTCTTGTATCTCACTGCAAGCAGACCAAATATTGTGTTCAGCGTGGGCCTTTGTGCAAGGTTTCAATCCAATCCAAAGGAATCTCATCTGAAGGCTGCCAAGAGAATATTGAGATATTTCAAAGGAACGCAGGACCTGGTTCTCTACTATCCCTCAGGTGATAGCTTTGATCTTATTGGGTATGCTGACGTTGATTATACAGGATATCTGGTGGACAGGAAAAGCACGTATGGAATGGAACATTTCCTGGGTTCTTGCGGAATCTCATGGGGTACAAGGAAGCAAAACTTGGTGGCACTCACAACTATAGAAGCAGAATATGTAGTAGCTGCCTCTTGTTATGCTCAATTGCTGTGGATCAAACAGCAGTTGGAAGACTTTAGAGTATTCTATGATTGTGTGCCTCTCTTGTGCGACAATACAAGTGCACTCAATATGGCCAAAAATACAGTCCAACATAAGAGGACCAAGCACATTGATGTACGTTATCACTTCCTCAGAGACAATGTTGAAAAAGGGCTCATCTGTATGAAGTTTTGCAGCACTGAAGATCAGATTGCAGACATCTTCACCAAAGCTCTGAGCAGAGAACATTTTGAAAGAAATCGTCTAGCACTGGGGTTGATAAAACCCAACTGAGAACCTGGTCCCTCGATGATTGGTTATGAAAGAAATGTAGAGGTAAAATTAGCTAAAAGTGTTTTCTGGCAAAGTCTAACTCATTTTTATACTGTTACAAGTAAACACGCATGATGATTACAGAGCAGCTGATGTAGTGCATGTCGGTAAAAGGGGTTAAGCTTACATTTGCAAGACCTGTCAGGGAACCTGGTTCTCTTGACACAGGTTAGTAGCTTCTTTATTCTCTCATGCACAATTTTGAACGGTTAAAACAAGTGCCACATCATCAATATGTCAGCTTCTTTTTCTTTGCGTCCTTTGAACCCAAACATCTCACCCATTGAGAATCGACCCAACTCCCAAAACTGCCGCCCTTTCTTAACCGGTCCCTTATCCATCATAAATACATCTATCACTTTCACAACTCCTCCCATCAAATTTCAAAACCCCATTCTTCTGCCTCTCTTAAAACTGCCAAATCCCTTCTCTTCTTCTCACCATGGTTGAAAATCAAACAACCTCGAGTGTTCCAAGTGACATCCCCATTGAATCCTCACCTGTTGAAACATCGATATTAGACTCCTCACCCCACACCACTACTAACCAAAATCCTAGGACAGAGTCACCCCCATATTCCATCTCCTCTCCAACCCACTCGAGTTCTGGTTCTCATAGGAGTCGCAAAATCTTGACTCCCAAAAGATTTTTAGCCCAGAGCCCTTCTCCTACTTCGCCGGAAAAAAGGGGATGAATAGAGTACAAAGAAGAAAATCAGG